GGGCATGGGGACCGGAGCCTGCAGTCCCAGCTACTTGAGAGGCTGAGGCAAGAGGATGGCTTGAGGCCAGGAGTTTGAGACCAGCCTGGGCAACATAGCAAGACCCCCATCTCTACCAAAAAGGGGAAAAAAAAAAACCTTGTTTTCTTTTTTTAACCTTACTTTTTGTTTTTAAAAAAACCCCGCCTTTAGTTATTACCCCCACTCCCCGGAATAGTACAACTGCATCCTCGTTCCGTATCCTCCTGGCCTTGCCTGGCCGCAGGTGGCTCTGCGTATCCATGCGGGGAGGCTGGCTGCCATCTCAGCGTGGGGCCGCCTCCGGGTGTCTTCATGGCGACTCAGAACAGGCTGTCCATGGGGAGAAGGTGCCTGCCAGGGCCCTCCGTCTGGACGAGGCCACTGTGTGGGGCTGCCGCCTCCCCTTCCTTCTTCTCTGGAACAGCTTCTGCGGGTGTGTTCGTCTTTCCGATTATTTGAAGCCCCCGGGGACTTTATCCCTGGTCTCTTCCCCTCAGCACACCCCTTTCCTCGGCCTCTGCAAAGTGCCTGCAGCGTCTCAGGACCCCACCGCACATCTCCCCCTGCTGCCCCCGCGGGGGTCTCTGACCCGAGTTTCCCAAAGCCTCCCCCCGGTTCCTGGAAATCCCCGCGCCTGCCGAAGCGGGCCGGGCTGGGGCTCGTGACCTGTGACTGCGCGCCAGGGGGAAGCGGCTGTGAGGGAGAAGACAGATGTGTGTCCTGTCGTCCTGGTCTTCAGCCCCTTGCCACCCCCAGCCAGAGTCCACTCCGCCCCAGGGCCCTGCCCAGTGCTGGGGACACCAGGGGCAAGGAGGCCTGGGTCCTGCCAGCGCCTCCACTGGTCCCCAGCCGTTTGCCAAGCCCTGCGCCGCGGCAGGCCCAGGCCCTGGGGCTTGAGTTTCAGTTCCGCCACTCACCGGCTGCCAGCCCGTGACCCGTGCAAGGCTCTTAACTTCCCTGGGCCTGTTTCCTTGTCCACAAAATGATGGTGACAATGAGAGTGAAATGTGCTATTACCCAGAAGGTACTTAGGACACAGCCTGGCACACCTCGGTGCTCAGTAAATGTTAGCCGAATGTCAGGGCACCCTACCCCAGGGGCCAGGGGCCCAGAAAGAGGCGCAGAGCCCTGCAATGGGGAGGCAGTGAGTGGAAAATAGTAACATGGAGTGGGAAGGGGGCACCTAGAGAGGGAGGTGCCTGGCGGGGAGGAGGAGGGGACAGAAGGGAGGGTAGGAGGGCTTCGTGGAGGAGGTGGTGTTCTAAACAACGGGCTGCATTCTCTAAGGAAGGAGGGTGGGCCGGCACAGTCCCTCAGGCCTGTAATCTCAGCACTTTGGGAGCCCAGGAGTTCAGGGCTGTAGTGAGCTGTGATCGTGCCACTAAGTGCTGGTTAGAAAGATCCTGTGGTGCAGAGTGAAGACCTGGGTCACCGGGGCTTGGGGAGGTGAGACTGGGCAGGCAGAGCAGGCCAGAGAGGTGAGAAGCCCCCGGCCGGCAGCGGTGGCGGGGAGCAGAGCAGGGAGCTGGGAGGCGCAGACCTCGGGACTCCTGAGTAATTAAGAGGCAGGCGGAAGGAGCAGCGGTGTGACAGGGCTGCTGGTCCGGGCAGCCTTTGCCAGCATGGGAGTAACTGAGTGGACGCTGGTGGTGATGGGCCTGGGGGCTGAGCTCAGCTTAAGACACGCTGGTTCGAGGAGTCAGTAGCCCCACTAGACCCAGCGTGACCTCTCACACCAGAACTGAAGCAGGAAATGAGAGGGCGGTCAGAGACCAGTAAGCTGACCTGCTCCCTATCCTGCCGGGAGCAGCCTCCCTGACATCTGGTCTCGGTATTTCACCCATGGTGGGGTTAAGTGCACTGTGCTCACTCCTGCGCGTTTGGCTGCGCTGTTTTCACTTCTGTCATTCCTCTCCTTGCTCTGAATTCTCCTCCTGCACGTGGCCTCTCTGGCCTGGAGCCAGTGTCACCTCCCTGGCGTGGGCTTCTCTGGCCCTGTACCCCAAGTGCCTGGAGTGATAGGGCAGGCACTGGGTGTTCCCTCACTCAGAGGGTGGTCAGGCTGGACAGGTGCAGGTGAGGGACAGGACTGTATAAGATGGAGGACAAAGCCATGGGAGGATGAGATCACTCAGGGGAAGGGCAAAGCTGGGGAGCCTTGGGGACACCCAGGACCTACAGTGCAGCCGAGGCTACAGGTCTGGGCCTGCCCTGTGACCACAGGAAGAATGAGGTGTCTGAGCCATAGCAAGTCAGCAGGAGAGGGAAGAGAGGGTGTGGAGAAGTGGCCGGCACAGAGGCTCACTCAGCCTGACAAATGTCCCTCTGCTTAGAGAAATGGTCGTCACCAGTGACCTTGGCAAGGGCAAGGAGCTGGGGAGGGAAGGGCAGAGGAGGAGGTGGAGACACAGAGTGAAGATTCCTCTTTTCGGAAACCAGAGTCAAGCAAGAAAGAGGGAGGTGGGGGAAGGGCATCTGGCCTATCTGCTGCTTCCTCCCCTTTGAAACAAGACAGACTTGGCCCCCTCTGTGGGCTGCAAGTTCAGAAAGTGGCAGACCCAGCCTAGCCGGGTGGAAAGGGCCTGAGGGTGGTTCCTGTTGTGGAAGGTGGCACTGAGTGGCCAGCTGGAGGGCCAGGCCAGGGAAGGTGACCCCACAGCCTACAGGAAGAGGCTGACAGCCGGCAACCAGGCCACTCAGGGGAAGCGCGCTAACCCAGGCTGAGGGCTCAAGGGAGACCTGGGTCTGGTGGCAGCTGCCCAGGGCTCCTCAAAGGGATGGGATGGAGAGGGCACCCGGGAGCCAAAGCTGGCGGATGGAGATGACATCTGGCTAGGGTGCGGGGACTGCCACAGGGGGATCAGCAGGGCAGTGTCAGCCCTGGCGGGGCTGCCTGCATGGCGCGGGGAGCCGCTGCCCACTTCGAGGGTGCAACGGAAAGAAAGGTGGTCTTGCAGGTGCGGGCTTTGTGCGGGGTCAAGGGACAGGCAGGAGAACCCCGACGCCAGAACGTGCAAAAATCCGGGAAACCTCCACACGGCGCAGCACGGACAGGCCTTCAGAGCAGTCACACCTGCCCCCTGAGGGGCAGAAACACCCCTCAAGTAATGCTTGCGTGCCAGATGCAAGGGAGGAGCGATGTTGGGGAGGGGGCCCCCTGTTCTCAGAAGCGAGGGGTGAAGTCACCACCGCTGGGTCTGAGGATGGTGGGTGGGTCTGGAGGAGATTGGGGACCGGGTGGAGGGAGGTGACCGGGAACACCGCAGGGCTGCGGACACAGGCCAGGACTCCCAGGTGGGGGCCAGGGGCCGTCCCCGCCGGAGCAGAGGCGGCAGCGCCCCGCACTCGGTGTCTCAGACGCTTAGCTCGGCCCAGGGGACGCGGAGAGATCCCGGGAGACCGTGCTCCAGCCCGCGCCTTTCCTGGGGCGCGGAGCCAGGCGCTCGCCTGGGGCAAGGCCGTGAGAACCCTGCGCTGCGGGAGGGCCCGAGCTCTGCGCCGAGGAGCCAGGAGGCAGGCGTCCCCGGGAACCGAGGCCCGCGGGCGCAGCGCAGCCGCAGAGGAGGCGGGGCACCACAGGCCCCGCCCCATATGGTAATGTCGCACTACCGCCCCGCCCCGGCCCGGGAGCCGGACGGTTCCAATCCGCGAGCTCGAGAGGCGCGCGGCGCCCAGCAGCGCACCCGCAGAGGCCGAGCGCACGGGACCGGGCGCCAGGGCTGGGCCGGTGGGTTGGCAGCATAGCCCGGGCACGGTCAGTGGACCGCTCGGTGTCCCGGGCCGTGGCTCCCCCGCCGACGCGAGGTGGTACGGCCCGCAGGGGCGTGGCCTGGGTCATGTGACGCAGCTGCGGCCGCCATTTTGTTCTGCGGTGCTGGTATTTAGAGCGCAGCAGCTGCTGGGCCGGTCGCCCTAGCTGCCGCCTGTCCGCCCGCTTTCGCGTCTGTCCACCGCGCCCTGCCCGCGCTCGCCCCAACTTCGGCCCGCAGAGCTCGCCCCTCCCCACCTGCAGACATGTCCGAGACCAAGAGCCCCGAGTATGCTTCGTTTTTCGCCGTCATGGGCGCCTCGTCCGCCATGATCTTCAGTGGTGAGCGCGGAGACAGGAGGGACCCGTGGGGCGGGGGGCGCCGGGGGCGCGCGTGGGGCTCGTGCCCGCAGCTCGCCGGGGTTCGGTGTGTGACGTCACTCTGATGTAATCCCGAGCTGTTAGGGAGGCCCATCCTCGCGTCACCGCGGGCGGGGGTCAGGGCCCCGAGGGCTGCGGGAGGCCAGGGTGTGGGCCTCGGGGGTCCCGGCCCGGCGGCCCTGCCAGCCGGCCGTGTCGGTGCGGGGGTGGAGCGGCGGCTCCGCTGCCATCTTAGCCCCGGGAGAGGCGAGAGGGAGGCTGGGGTGGGGGCGCGGGGGGCGGCGCGCGGTCCTGCGCCTGCTCCGCACTCCCCCCATTTCTGCAGGCAGGTGTGACATCACGCCTCGGAAAGCTCCCGGTCTGTGGGCGGCGGCGGCGGGGGTCGGGCCCGGAGGCGCCTCGGAGAAGAGTCCCTGGTGCTCCCTGGCCGGTGGGAGCCTGTGTCCCCGCCAAGGTCCACAGCCCTCGCCTATGGCGGCCGGGCCCCTGCGGGGGTCAGGTGGGCCTGTACCAGAGGCAGGTGCTTCCGGTTAGAGGTGTCACGGTTTCCCAATAGCCCTGTCGTGTGGGTTGGTTGGGAAAGCTGGGCTGAGGGGTGGGTCCCGAGAGCCCTCAGCGACACAGGGGTGGAGTGTATGGAAATGGACGGGGAGAGGGGAAGGTCGGCAGCTATCAGCGTTGGCTGTGTGTGTGGATGCTTGCTACCGAGGGTCTGTGCTTTGCGGCGGGTGAGAGAGTGGCATGGGGTGTCAAATTTACAGGGTTTGGTCTTTGTCCTTTAGGAGGGAGTCTTCTACTTTTAGCCGTAATGAATGGATGGATGCATGAATGAATGACTTCCAGTTTTCCTTCTTGAGGCCTGGAGTTGGGAGGGGCTGCCCTGGGCCTGTAGAAGGGGCTTCCAGAGTTCTCTATCGCACCCTGCTTTTGAAGTTGGGCCTTGACAGTCCTGGGTTGTCAAAGTTAGTGGAAATTGGTCTACCTCGGAAAAAAGCGATTGGGCTAAGCCCAGGAATGTGGGACCAGGGAGGTAAGTTCTGACCCAGTCTCAGCCCCTGTGGACTGGTCTGGCCTGGTCTGGTCTCCACCTCCTCGGTTAGGTCTGGTTTTAGGCTTTGATGACCTCGCCCTGCCACACCCTCCCTGGTGAGAGTGGGGGAGGCTCACGGTTCAGGTATGTGGAGGGTTTGAACTCCAAACAGTCTCTGCTGCCTGTAAACACCTGTCGGGTGGGGGCTTGGGACTCTGCTCTCTTGGGGGCCTGCCTCTGCCTGGGCCTGTCTGCCAGTCATTTGTGGCTGAGCTAGCCCTGTCCTTCCAATCATGTGCAAGTCAGGGGTCATTTGTGGTGGGAGAAATGGTCTAGACTTCCCCTTCCCTCCCAGGCACCGCCTGCTCTTTCCACACCTACAGGGCTCCCTCAGGTGCTGCCACACACCCCAGCCCCCAGAATGCCTCCTGAGACTCTTCTTTGCTTGGCCACCTGTGGATACTGCTGGAGCTGCCAAGTATTCATTCATCTGCAAATTTTGATTGAGCTCCTACCAGCAGGCTAGGTGCTGGGCACATCAGCAAGCAAAACGAGCCCTGCCCATATGGGACTTGTGTTCTGGCTGTCACTACTTGCTCCCGAAGCCCTGAGTTTGCTTGTTGAGCCCTTTCTGCGCACCCAGCTCCCTGCTCCCCGCTCCATCGAGAACCAGCATGTGCTTTGCAACAGAGCTTGGCCTTCGGGTGTCTGGAAATAATCAGTTGAGGATGGACTATCAGTGGCGTAGGCTTTTCCTTCCACTGCAGCTCCTGGGGACTCCCGTGTGGCTCCTCTCTGTGCCCTCCTCTCCACTCTTGTTCCTCACATGGGGCTCAGTGTGGCCCTGTGGTTGCTAGCCTCTCACTTGGCCTATCAGGTCAACTTCTGACTTTGTTTTTGCTCTCCCGACGTGTCTTTCCCTGGGACTTGTCTTCATCTCCTGTGCTTACAGGAACAAGCCCCTCCGTCCCCCTGTGGCCTCTGCTGTTGCTGCCAGGCTGGCTCCAAGCTCTGTCCCAGCTCTGGCACTGCCCGCCTAGGACTCGGCTGATTGGTTTTAAACCGAATGAGGTCCATGCACAACTTTCAGGCACCCCATTCCCCGTCCCACTGTCCAGCTTCCCCTTTTTTCTTATGACAAACATCCTGTTGATGCTTTCTTCATCATGTCTTCCAAGAAGCAGTCATTTGCTCCCTTTCCATATTTTCTGTGACTTCCTCCCTCCTGGTGGGCACCTCGTATTTGGTGCTTATGTTCCTGGAGCTGCTTCCTGCCTCTACTCTTTCTGTCTCTCACTCAATCTGTCATTGTTGACAGGTCCGCCTTCCGCAGCCCTGGCAGGCTTGGTCCTCAGAGCTAGTGTCTAGGGCCCTCCAGCCTGGGCTGGTATTTCTTTTCCTGCCACTCTGGCTCCTGCTGGTCATCCTGGCTTCTTCCCTTGTTCCTCTGGTTGCCTCCCTCCCCCGCCCCACCAGCTACACGATCCGCCTGCTGCCTTCTGTAGGCAATGGCCCGGCTCACTGCCTGCTCTGCTGGGCGCTGGCTTTGCAGAGTCCCACTCCTGCTGGCGCTGAGTTCCCTCTGTTTAGCCTCCCACCCAGTGCTGCTGCAGCCTGTGCTCTCCTTGGTCAGTAACACGTCCCCAAGGTTGTGAGCCATGCTCTGGTCTCTTGCGCATACGTGATGCTGCCTGACGTGCTGGGCCTGCAGTGGGAGCCCCCAAAATACACTGTAACTGGGAGGGTTCCAGGACAGGTCCTCGAAGGTGGGCCCCAGGCAGAAGGCACTCATGTATGGCCACTTCAGGGATGGTGTAGGGGAGGCAGTGTGGCTGCCCCAGCCTCCTTCCTCCATCTTGTCGCTCCTTGGCCTGCGCCATCTCGTTTGGCACCTCCACATACGCCGTCTGGAATCATTTTGTCTTCTTGCTCTGCCTTCCTGTGACTCCTTGCTCACTGCCATTTCGGCTTCTCCCCACTCCCCCCACCACCCTCTTCCCCACTCTTATGTGACGTGTTGCCAGGTCTGGAGGTTGCTGTACTTGTGTCTTCTGAGCCCTGGGAAGGAGAACCCCTCTGACCTCACTCTTGCTCAATGCTGAGCACAGAGTAGGCATCATTTGCGGCCCAAACAGATCAATAAAATGTGCAGAGGAATGGCTGGGGAGGTCCTGTCCCTTCTGCCTCTGACCTACATTGTCTTCTGTAGGCCAGGCCAGATATCCATCTGCTCCCCCAAAAGGACCATGGCATGAGTGCCCTGGGCATGGGGCTCTTGATGCAGCCTGCTCAAGCAGCTTAGTGGGTCCCTGTGGTGGCCCTGGAGGGCAGGTGGCAGATATCAGAGGAGCCATCTGAGTCCCACCATGTCTCTATTTTGTGTTGACATTCTCCACTTCGAGGCCAGCAAGGGAAAGAAAGTTCCTGAAAAGGAAGGCAGCATCCTCTTTGGAGGTGGGAGGGACAGCTCCAGAGGAAACAGGGCACCCTAGAGTCTAACCTCTCCTCTCCCGATGTGGTGGGAGGCTCAGGTGGCCCAGCCAGGCTTCTGAGCTCAAGGCCTCATGGTCAGGTTGGGTGATGACTGTGACAGCCTTGTCCTCTCCTCGCCTCTCCCTTTCTCCTCTCTGGTTAGTAGAGAAGATTCCCTAATCTGTTAGGGGTCCAGGGCCTGCTATGTGGCCCAGGGTGCAGAGAGCTGCCCTTTGTGGAAGAGCCCTCAGCCTTCCCCGCAGCGTGTTCAGGGCTCGGCATCGTGGGAAGTTTGGTGGGCTGGGCAGGGAGTCAAGGAAGCTCTAGCCTAGGGGTGCCGGAGTCACCAGGTCGGCTACTTCTGACCCTGAGGTCACACCCTGTGGCAGTAGCCATGCCATCTGGCCTGTGGTGGCTCTTCCAGCATGTTGTCCCTGGGCAATAGCCACAGGGGCTGGCTGGCTGACCCTGGCCCAATGTCTGGGCTGCTGAGATACAGTCAACTTAGTACGTTCCTGGGGATTTCCTGACTTGAGTGCCAGGGACTCTGGGTGGGACAGGGATGCTCAGAATCCCAGGCAAGGCTCCTGGGGCCCCAGCTGCCTTCTTCACCATGTGGCTGGGTTGCCTGAGGTTGTGGGTGGCCGTATTGAGGCTCCCAAGGAGTATGGGGTCTGTGCAGCAGGCTTGGGCAGTGCTGGGGAGCCCAGGCTGGGGTTGCACAGCAGAGCTGGGAGCCCCAGATGGGCTAGAGGGCTGTAAGGGCAGGGCCACTGCTGGAGGAAGAGGTGGACTGTAGGAGTGAGGGGGCTTGGGGCCTCAGGTAGGGGAAAGGAGGGAGTGGCTGCCCTAGCTGCAGCTGGTGCCTTCTGCAGCTCCCTCTGCGTGTGGTTACTTGGGGTAACTTACAGCTGTGCCACAGGCCCCCCTCCAGCCCCCAGGTGGCCAGTGTGCTGCTCTGGGCTCACCTCGTCCCCCTCCCGCAGCCCTGGGGGCCGCCTATGGCACCGCCAAGAGTGGCACGGGCATCGCGGCCATGTCCGTCATGCGGCCGGAGCTGATCATGAAGTCCATCATCCCGGTGGTCATGGCTGGCATCATCGCCATCTACGGCCTGGTGGTGGCAGTGCTCATCGCCAACTCCCTGAACGAGGGCATCAACCTGTACAAGTGAGTGCTGGGGCTGCCCTGCCGGGCTTGGAGGACTGTGGGCAGGGGCGGCGGGCTGGTGCAGGAGACCCCGCGGCCGTGTTCCCCTGGCCGGCCGGCTGCTGACGACAGGTCCGTGTCTTTTCTCCCCCCAGGAGTTTTCTCCAGCTGGGTGCGGGCCTGAGCGTGGGCCTGAGCGGGCTGGCAGCTGGCTTCGCCATCGGCATCGTGGGGGACGCCGGGGTGCGGGGCACCGCCCAGCAGCCGCGCCTGTTTGTCGGCATGATCCTGATCCTCATCTTCGCCGAGGTGCTCGGCCTCTACGGTCTCATCGTCGCCCTCATCCTCTCCACAAAGTAGCCCCTCTCCGAGCCCACCAGCCACAGAATACGATGTAAAGACCACCCCTCCTCATTCCAGAACGAACAGCCCGGCACGCAGCACGGGGCGCCCCCGTAGTCGGTCTTGTACATGCGCAGTGTCCTAGTGCCCGTCCTTGCCCGCCCCACCCCGCCCTGTGCCGCGGCCGCCGGCTGCCCCTCACCCCGCCGCCGGCGAGGACCCTAGAGTGCTGTGTGTCAGGGTGCATTAGAGCTGTCATTCCCTCTCACTGGATGTTTATTTATAAAGAGCCGACCTGTCCATCCGTCTGTGGAGCAGCCCTCGTCTCCTTCCTATATAGTACCCCCAGTAGTTGCACCGCGGGCCCGGCTTGCTGGGACTGCCTGGGCGGAGCCCCGCCCTCGGGCCTGGGGCGGTGTGCGGCCCGCGGCCGGAGCTGTGTCAATAAAGTTCTCGGTTGTGACTGGATCCCGTGCCTGCGTCGCTTGTGGGGGGCGGGGTAGGCCGCGCGGGCGAGCGCCGCGTCACGCCTGCCGCCGGGCGCTGCCGATCACGTGGGCGCTGCTGGTCACGTGGGTGCCGCGGTCACGTGGCGCGGCGCCTCAGTCAGCTGAGAGTCACGTGGACGCGGCGGCGCCCTGGGCTCCGGCTCGGCGCGGGCGCGGGATTCGCCTCCGCGGGCTCCCGGCGCCGCGGCTCAGGATGCGCGGCGGGCAGGGCGTGGCGCGGGCCCCGGTGCTCCAGTTCACCAACTGCCGCATCCTGCGGGGTGGGGCGCTGCTCAGGTGCGCGGCCTGGGGCGCGGGCTGGCGGGGCGGGGGCCGCGGGGTCGGGCGGCGATCCGAGCGCCCGCCGCTCCGTCCGCAGGGAGGACCTGTGGGTGCGCGGGGGCCGCATCCTGGACCCGGAGAAGCTGTTCTTCGAGGAGCGGCGCGTGGCCGACGAGCAGCGGGACTGCGGGGGCCGCATTCTGGCGCCTGGCTTCATCGACGTGCAGATCAACGGTGCGGTCCAGGGCGGGGCAGGAGGCTTGGGGGGAGCTCTGAGCACTGTGCGACCCCAACTTTTGTGTGGTCGTAGGTGGATTTGGTGTTGATTTCTCCCAGGCCACGGAAGACGTGGGTTTGGGGGTCGCCCTGGTGGCCCGGAGGATCCTGTCGCATGGTGTCACCTCATTCTGCCCCACCCTGGTCACTTCCCCACCGGAGGTTTATCACAAGGTGAGGTCAGGCTCCGGCCTCCAGCGAAGGGGGCCGAAGAGGCCCGCAGAAGCAGCCAGCCCCTTCATTTTCAAACCCTATGCTCTCTCACCCCAGCTCACGCCCCGTGGCACCTCAGCCTGGCCCTCCCTCTCGCCTCCCTCCACCTGGGCCTGGGGTCCTGCCGCTGGGCTTTCTCCATCACTTGTCTGCCTGGTCGCTGTCCCCACACTTGCTGGCTCAGCAGCCCGACCTGCGCACGCCCTCCCCACTCTGCACGCTGCCTGCCTCCGTGCTTCAGAAAGCGCCCCCTGACCGAGGTCATGGGGACTTCCTGGTTGCCACACCAGTCCCGGGTCGAGCTCTTCCTCCCCAACCTGTCGGTGGTTGTGACTCAGTGGAGACTCTCTGTCTCCTGTGCGGCTCTTGCCTGCATCCCCCACCCTTGGACTTTCCTTTGCCCTAGGAGGAGTTTGGTCGTCCTCGGTCTGGTTTTTCTTTAAGTGTTTACTTTTTACTTAGGTTTTCTGCTGCGCTTTATTATTCAGGTTCCTGCTGGCAGTGGGTATGTTATTGTTTGTTCCCGAACTGTTTGGGAATAGGTTGCATACACCATGCCTGTTTGTTCCTTAACACTTAACTATTTCTTAAAAACATGGATGTTTTCCACGCACCCACGAAAGCTAGTGAGTTTAGGAAATGGACGCTGTTAATACTTCAGTCCACTGTCCACGTTCTAGTTTTATTGGTTGCCCCAGCCGTTTTTTTTCTCAAGTACAGGATTCATTGCAGGGTCATGATGACCCTGCCCATGGGGTACCTTTCTGGGACGCAGAGTCAGGCAGGGAGCTGTTGGGGTCAACTGTGGGCTCTGGGTTTGGGCTTCCTGGGTTTGGTCCTGGCGTCTGACTTCATCTGTCGGCTGAAGACTCGGGACAACCTTACGCCCTCTGATCCTGTTGCCTCAAACCTAGAGCGAGAACAGTAACAATGATTGTCTCCGTGACAGCATTGGGGTTGGTATATGTTAAGCACTTGGTAAATCTAAGCTATGGATGTCTTTCTGGGATTTTCCACCGCTCTCCCACCGGAGTCAGATGTCAAAAAACCAAACCAGCGCCTGGTTCTCCCAGCTGCTCTCCCCGGCTCTGGGCCCTGCCCGAGTGACCTTTCCAAGATCTAGGACTCAGCGTGTCACCCCCGGTGCTGCCCCCGCCCTGCAGCATTCCTTTCCTATCTGCTGAGCCTCCTCTCTCCCAGGCACACTCCCTTCTGCCCGGGTTCTTTGCCTGGAAGACCTTCCCCTGGCGCCTGTGGTGGCCAGCTGGTTCCAGGCCTCCCTGGCCAGGCCTTGCCCACCTGCCCGCCATGCTGGGCACACTGCCCATGCTTGTGCACAGGAGGGACTGCCTGCTCTTCTTCCCTAGGAACCGGAGTCTTTGGCCGTAGCACATTTTTTTCCCGTATTTGCTGCAGTCCAGGTACCCTGTAGACCTTTGCCAAACACTTCCCAGATGAAAGCCTTGGGAGGCGGAGCGTAAAACTGTTGAGGGTAGAAATTGCGTAGCGCTCTGGATATGAGAATTTACTGCTGTATCATCTTAGAAACCAGGCGGCCCTTCGTTTGGCTGATTCCCCCACCATCCCCCCACCTTCCTCCAGGGCCCATTTGACCCTTAGTGGAATTGTGTGGCAGCTTTGCCAGATGCTACCCAGGTCTTTTGTTGTCTGTTCTGGTCTGTTGAGACCACCTGCTCCTTTTCGGGTGGTATTCTCTGGCCCTGCCCTTTGCTGCCATACCTAGAGGCAGATCTGATCATGGTGTTCTCTGCTTCAAGCCTATTTGCTGAGCCAAGGTCAGGCACCTCCTCAGGGTGGCAGCCAGGCCACTACCTCTGGGCCCACACACCCTCTACTTAGTGCTCGCTTGCTTTCACTCTTTAAGGCTCTGGAAAAACTCAGCCATTATCTCTTCTCTAATTTTTAGTCAACTTGTATATCCACCTGGCTTGTTAGGAAAAAGCAGTCCTTTGCCCCAACCAGTTCCCACCCTAGGGACAGTCACTTTCAACTCAAACGACTCTTTGGGATTTGCCCCCAGGTCTCTAAAAAATAAATTGGTGTCTCTACTCGGCTCTTCAGTTTCGGACAGCCTCTGTGGCTTCCTACCAGGACAGATGAGGATTAGCGCTCTCATCCCTTTCTGTCCCCTCGTCCTCCCTAGGTACCACCGCGTGGATCAGACAGCAGGACTGTGAAGGGCTCGCGGCACAGTTACATCTTCTCACCTGTCAACCCTGCTTTCCTTGGAGTCAACGTTCTTTCCTTAATTTGTTAGCTACTAACTCGATTCCAGGTTTCTTACCCGTTGTCCCACTCTTTCGGGCTATTTAGACTCACCATGGCATCTATCAATTTTGTGTTTCTGCAGAAGCTTTTGGGACCTGCTCTCCTGGTACTGTCCTGGGAACTCCCTTCCCCTCACCTGGGGATGTCCCCTGGCCTTGTTCTGCTGGGTCTCTCACACCCAGGGTCCGATGTCTTTCTCTCGGCTCGTTTATGGCTTCATTTTGGTGGAGCAAATCCTCCAATAACTTCCAGAGAAAGGATCATGAGAGGTCAAGTTTTTGAGCTCTCGAAGGCCTGAGAAGTCTTTATTCTCTTGACCGATGGTGTGGTGGCTGGGTTAGAATTCTAGGTTAGAACTTATTTTCTCTAGCATTCTCAAGGCACTGCTGTGTTGTGTTTAACTTCTGGAGTGCAGATGAGAAGTCTGAAGCTATTTGATCCCTGACCCTTTGTAGGTGACCTGTTTCTTCTCTCTGGAAGCTTGAGGAATCTTTTTTGTCTGTCCTTGGATCCTGAAGTCTCAGTGTGGCACACTGTGGGGACAGGGTAGTTCATCCATTTTGCTGGCTGTTGGCAGGCCTGTCAGTCTGGAA